CAACCAAGAAGCTAAAGTACGAGAAAATAGAGAAAAATAAATTGTGCGTCAATGTACAAAATAAAAGCTTAACGTTACAATAAATAACTGAATCCGAAAGACGTCATCAAAGATTAAATAAGGTTAAAAAAAAGACAGAAAAATAAATAATATGTGCTAAGTTAATAAAAAACATAAATAAAGTAAATTAATTGTTTACAAATAAATTGTTTAAAGTAGACATAGGCATGATGTGGAAACTCTTCGTATAGGACTTTAAATTAAAATTGTTTTTCTAAAGTTTATTGTAAAGTATGATAAATCTTCTTCGATGATTATTTACATCCGCAAATATTGAAATATCTATCCGCGGATAAAGAAATGTGGTCACAAATATGCTGACTGCGAATAGCAAATCCGCGAATAAGGAGTGTCGACTGTACTCTTTAATTTTAACAAAATTCCTCTTGAATCAGGAATTAATACTTTCTTTAAATCAGGATTTTAACTACAATTGTAAATAAAGAATTAAATCATATTAAACCAGATTTTAAACAACAGTTGTAAACGTGTTCTCCCTGAATAAAGGTAATTTTAATTTCAATTCTCAAAACTAATTTAACCGTAATAATATCTTTATATTTCTCAACTTTTATCCTTAACTGTCGCTGCCAAAAAGCGTGGCAACAGTAATTTCCAGATATTCTTGTCGCTGCCAAAGAGTGTGGCAACAAGATTTCTCTTTATCCTCATCCATGCCCAGAAAAGGGGGAAAACATTTCAACTAAAAAAAAATTAAATGTCAGAGTAAACAACCTATACAATCAAACTGAGATCCTTTTCCATTCCTATTCAAATTAAAGAAATTAGAAACCGAAATTCAAAACAATAAAACTCAAACTTTAATTCCATATAAACTAATTCCTTTGAATTTAATAGTTGATTTTTCAAATTTTAATTTAATAAACAAATCAAATCCTCGGTTTAAAACATATAAAATTTGATATCTTTTCGGACTGGATTAATCACGCAATCTGGTCCAAATTCCGGGTAAATAACTTAAATGTTTTGACCCAAAAATGGACAGATAAACTTAACTTTGACAAAATGTGACAAAGTAAAACTACAAATAATGAGGAGACTGTTCCGGATGTCGATATATTGAAACAATCAGGATTTCGCCCACCGTAGTAGAAATCCTAACGGCAAGCGTTTTTAAAGAGAGCTGCAAGAAGAAGATATCCCTTTCAACTACATAGCAAATGTAGCAAGTGTTTTTTAATTGTAATGAGCAAGCCCCCTGATTTAGAAGAGGGACTATCGAACTTTAAAATATTACAATTCTTAAACAAAATAGAGCGATTCAAAGTCAACCAAGTCTCAGAAAAGAGCAGAATGTCAAAGTCCTCTATAACCCCAAGTAAAGAATCATTTTTGCTTAGCAGGCCATGTGCAAGTTCTATTGAAATATTTTTGGTTCACGGTGAATCATCTAGCAAGTTTGGCAATTGAGGAGTAGAGGAGTTCGTTTCTTTATTGAAAGAGATTCTTTTAAGCGAATCAGAGAGAAGAGAAGCCTTATGGGCAACACCTAATGAGCTAAATATCGGAAAATCCCGCTCTGTAAAAGTAATCAAGAAGCTTAAAAATTCGTGAGAGAAGTCATTTATGTTCAGGGGATTAACTCCTAATTGAGTACTGTCAGCTAAGGGAGAATTAACAAGTATAGGTCGAGAAGAGGTATTGAAAGCTTTTTTCCTATCTTTGTCTATATCCATAGCCATCCTCGACAAGTCCTTTTGAGAAGCAGAGTCGAAGAAGACGCCCTAACTATCTTCCTAGCTTTTTTAATTGAAGGCACCCGTTTCGGTATGCCAAATGCCTCTAGATGACGTCAAGGAAGATGAAGATGAAGGGACATATAGCATATTAGCTGGAGAAAGGAGGGTGTGAAAGTTTCACAGTGAAACCCGCCGAAGCTTGGGCAAAGGAGCGTTGTTTATGTATAGACAAATTTAGGTTAACATTCTTTAGAAAAGGAAAATCTTCAACCGAAAAAGAGTTTGGAGGCAAGACATTAATAATGCCCCTGACAATATCACATGCATCCGTAAGAGTGATGTTACGGAATACATCTATCATTCTGATTTCCTTTTGAGTTTTGAGTTCCGGGCAATCAACATGGTCAGCCGAGTGAGAACCCTTACAATTAATACACAAGGGTTCTAGTGCAAGACATTGTACTTTATCCCTATGCGATTTATCCCCACATCTAACACATCTCAAAGCTCCCTTACCCTGGCTTTGACGTGACCAAATCTAAAGCAAGCTCGACATTGCGATACGCGCGTGACGTAAGGGAAAATTTCACGATAGACACGATAAATCGTTACCTTCTTCGGAAGGCGCTAACCAGCAAATGTTATTGCTACTGTTTTCGAGAGAACAAACTTAAAGCTCGGGTTCGAGTTTGAGTCGCTCCTATCAGTTGCAAAATCCTGCACCGTTTCACGAATCCTACGATTCAATCTCCGAACTTGAAGAACCTTGAAAGGGCTCTGGATATTTTCTAATATTTTATAGTCTTCTTTAGGACGTAACGCAGTCCCGCTTAATGAATCGCTAAGATATATTTCAATTAGTTTGCTCTTTTTAAATCATTTTATTTTCATAAATTCGAACATTTATTTTTAATTAGGAACATTTTTGAAATTGTTTTTTGTCTTACAATCTTTTTCTCCAACCTCGGCCTCCTCGTTGCTTCGTCTGCGTCGCTACAGATTTCTTGTTTACTTGTCCGAATCCTGACGCCTCCCTAAACTCCACCTGACTTGTTTGCGTCCCCTCGGTGGCTCTCCTGATTGATGATAGTGGAAGCGGAGATATGAGGGAAGGAAGGACCCACAGGTTCGGTAGCGTTGATCTTCCGGAGCTGGGAGTAGAGATCCCATTTTCGAAGGGACGTTTTCTCTTTGGTGGAGTTGATACCCCAGGTGCTGGGCGACTCGCGCCGAGGATTGGTGAAGATCTACGAGGGCGACCGGCGCCGAGAGTAGGCGTCTACACACCAGAAGCAGAGCGGCTGGCGCTAGGAGTTGGCGAAGAGTCGGAAGCTGAGTGTCTAGCGCCTGGAGACGGCGTCTGAGCGCTTTCCTCAAGGCGGCTAGCGCCTGGAGTTGCGACTGACGCAACCTTCTTCCGCTTAACTGCAAATATTTGGTCAAGCGGAAAAGGGTGAGTCGCGCTTCTTTACAGTTCTAGGAATCTTTGTCTAAAAAATGCGCGGCGTGATTGAACCTTTAGGTTTATCAGAAGGTCAATTTGCCAGATTGCCTTCGAACTCGGTTCCCTTTATATCCACATCGTGGTTGAATTTCAAATATAGGTTCTTCATCCATCTATTGGAGACTTTTTCAAAAACCCGGTTGCTAAGGATCGTGAATCCTGTCAAACAAACCGAAGTAACCTGTGGTCAAAATGTATCAACGCGTATTGTGTATTGTATTCCTCGTGACTTCCACGAGTACCTGGTAGCTGACGACGGCACATCCTCCAAGTCTAACGGAATATTCCTCATAATAGCAAGGTGCAAAAAAGGAGAAAAAATGCAATCAAATTTTTTTACTTTAACTGAGAGTGGGCAACAAGATTATTCGCAGTATATCTATCTTAGGAATACAGAAACTTTGGCAAAGACCACAGTCTCAATTTCTAAGATATCACTCCTCATTAATTTGGAAATCGCTTTTCCCACTATGGTCGGATCCAGGAAGCTTCTAACATCAGAGATCCTCTGTACGTGAACACAGAAAAAATCTTGATCATTTTCCGAATATCTGTTATTTAATATTTCATCCGATATCAAAATCGAAGAGGAAAAAGATACCGGGGGACAGGAGGAAGAATTATTATCCTTCAGGAAAGCATTAATAACCTTACTAGTCGAGGGTGAGAATGAGGAAAAAACATCCCTATTGTCTATCACCCTTTTAAGGTTCTTATCTTTTTTACGCGTAGCCATAGAAAGGTTATTATACATAGATTTGGCGTGCTCTTTAGAACGTACTTCATCATCCTCTTTTACCTGAACCATAGCAAAGGACAAGGGATGCGTACCACGTAACTTGTTCATAAGGGAGACCAGAGCCGCTCCACTTCCGCTGGCTCACCGAGTCATGCACTGCAGCGGGGGTCTTTCTCCTCGGCGAAATCTATGATCTAAGGACTGAATAGAGAACAAAGAGGAAGAGAGGGGAAGGGGGATCCCTGACCGTGAATGACGAGGCACTTAATTGCACTTAAATGTACTCAATTGCACCAGGCACTAGGCAGAAGATGCTTGATAGTTTTGGTCCGCCACACGGGCAATTTTAGCACATGCAAGAGTTGCTTTGTCGACGGGCCGCGCACTGCCCAAAGTAAAATCCGAAAAGTTACAGTCCCACGAGAAAAGTATGGACAAGATAAAAAAGGCCAAGATGGCCGTCTGTCCGTGCGGAAGCCGGCACGACGCGCAGTTTTTCGTCACGCAAGTAATAACCCGCTCGGGAACAGTATTCCAAGTCTATGAGGTAACACTCTCCGAACCTAAGGCGATACCGCCAAAAGAAGAGGCACAAAAGCCCAGGAATGGACTAATTTTGCGAAAATCTAGAGAAGCACTCGTAAGCTCGACTTTATTCTAGGCGCCATTCGTACCAACTCCGTGTGCAAACTCAATTGAACCCAAATTCTATTCAATTTTTGTCACCAATCTACTAGACTGTTGCAAATTATCTTCTACTGTCATCAAATTTGTTATCATAGTTTGTTAATAATTTTTGTTATATTCCTAGCATTTTGTCAATAACATTGCTGATCGTATTGTAGTATGTAGTAATTTGACTATCTGTAATATGCACTGCACAGCATCGTTTTTTACTTTATAATCATTATAAGCTGCAACAGCAGATCAGATATTTTATAATACCTATAATTGAGATAAAAAGGAAATAAAAACAAAATTCTTCACTTTTATTTACCTGTATCTTGGATGGCTTATGGCATATACATATGGATCCAGGCAAGCCACAAATTTGCACGCGCATGCTGGTATCATCGTGATACCGGGAGTTAACAATGCCTTATTTCCAAAAGCACCAATCATTGCGAGAACACCATACGGAGTCCACGAGAGAACAAAGAGGAAGCAGATTGTTATTGCAGCCTGTAAAAAGAAATGACATAAGACTTGAATTTTGTTTTAATGTATGCGATTTAATAAAAGTATGTAATTATTGAAAGGGGTACTCAAAAGTTTCCAGAATTATTTTTTAAGTTTTATACCTGTAAGTAGGGAAAAGTGCTGTACCTACCTTGGGTACAGCTGTACGTTAGAACACTCTGTCATAATCGAATAATGTTCGCGTCTGGCGATAGTTTATAGTACTAATTGTTGAGTTATTTGATAATCTCTTTAAATCTATATTTTTTTGTCGTCGCGATTATTTACACGTAAGTTATATCGACTTTTGTATTTTATGACGCGTAAAATAAATTTATTGAGATTTGTACTGTGATTTTTATAATTTTTTATAATAAAGATATAGTCATAAACCAACCCTTATGGAAAAATACACTCAACTTTTGGTGTTAACTGTAATAAAAAAAAAAAAAAAAAAAAAAACCTTAAAAGTTGAGTGTGATTTTGAACCGCCAATGGTTAATTTTTAATTAATGGTTAATCCTTATAATATATATTATCGAAAGCAAATTGAGAACATTCAAATATGGGATTTACTCTCTTTGGGTGTTACTTCCCGCACAGCATGTTATATTTCAGATAGATAGCAGATACATAAAATTTGAAATGTTGTTGTATAGCTGATACGTATAGCAATACGTATAAATCATGTACTAGATACATGTTTAATACCGTACGTTACGCATCAGATACGTATATGACAATATATGACAATGTATATTCGATACGTATTAAACACGTAAATTCTGTATTTGATAGTAGATGTATATGAAAAAAGTTGCTCCAAAATGACACACCCTAATCTACATAGTATATTTTAAACGCGTATTTGCAATATTACAGATGTAAAAAGAATATAGGACCTTTTTTGTAGATCGTTAAATTTTCTACAAAAATATGTATTGATTATTTCATAATTTTTGATAGTCGATATGATACAAAATTCATAAGAAGCAAAAACAAGTTTTATAAAATTTATCAAACTTTAACTTTGAATATCTTTTGAACGGTTAAATTTATGAAAAAATGATAAGAGATCATTTTTGTAGACCTATTAGAAGTTAGCCCCCCACTTTTAGAATTAACATATTTTCACGGTTGTGCTGAATTGTACTAGGTTTGTGCTATATTGTGCTCGAATATTATAACCATAATATGAAAAATACGAAAGAAAATTTAAAAAAACGAATTTTTAGGTCAGCCCCCCACTTTTCATTTTTTTCAATTTTTTCGATTGTGCTGAGTTGTGCTAAGTTGTGCTAACATTGTGCTAAAATATTATTTTAAAAAAATAATAACAGAGAGTTACGATAAAAAAATAAATTATATCCAAAAATGATTTTTTTATCGTAACTTTTTTTGTTATTATTATTTTTTAATAATATTTTAGCACAATGTTAGCACAACTTAGCACAACTCAGCACAATCAAAAAAATTGAAAAAAACAAAAAGTGGGGGGCTAACTTAAAAATAATTTTTAGGTCAGCCCCCCACTTTTCGTTTTTTTCAATTTTTTTGATTGTGCTGAGTTGTGCTAAGTTGTGCTAACATTGTGCTAAAATATTATTTTAAAAAAATAACAAAAAAGTTACGATATTTTTTTATCTCCCGCAAGGTGCTGTCCTGAGTCCGGTATTGTATTCGTTATACACGCAGGGCCTTTGTGCGGATCTGCCGGAGGGTGTCGAGGCGGTTGAATTTGCGGACGACATCGGGATCTACGTCCGTGGACCAAATCGCGAAAGAAACCGACTCTTGCTCCAATGTGCGATTGACATCATCGCTAACCGTCTCCGTGAGATGGGACTGGATTTAGAGCCGAGAAAGACGGTGCTGGTGGAGTTCAGCAAGAGCGGATACATTGATAGACAGATGTGCATACATATTAACGGATGTGACGTATTCAATTGCTGTGGTGCAAAGTTCCTAGGAATATGGCTCGACAACAAGTTAAGCTTCGACCGCCAGATACAGGAACGCTAATTCCATTATCAGGTATCTCTGTGGAGTATCCAGAGGTATGGAGGTAAATACGTCGCTGATGCTATACAAAAGCCTTGTAAGGTCTATTATCGATTATGGGAGCTTTGTATTTTTCCCTAGAGAGGCCTCCTTACAGTTAAAATTGGAGAGAGCTCAATTTTTGGGCATTCGTACAGCTCTCGGTTATAGAAATTCCACCCCCAACAATGTGATTGTGGCGGAGGCAAAAGTGACTCACCTGAGGGACCGTGCCATGCTGTTGGGTATTAATTTTGTTAACAAGGCGATTGCTCACAACAACAACGGATTGTGCGACAAGATACATCATCTTCTAGAGGGAGAGAATTTCAAACGATATAGACAACCTGCGTATCGTCTTTCTTTGCTGTCGGAAATATGGCGAAAAGTAAGACGTACCAGGCATCTCATTGACTCCGTTGAAAAGTATCCTATTTTCAGCGGTTCCTACAATGCCCAAACGTATAAACCTACTGTAGACATTGATATTGGTGCTGCGAGAAAGCGAGAAAAGATTTCTGACCTGTCACTTATTCAAAAGATTATTGATAAACATTATTTAGGTTCGGACCCAGATATTTTATTCACGGATGGATCATATAACGAGTCAGCACGTTCTACAGGAGCAAGTATTGTTATCTGCGATTACGCCGAGGTTTTCAAGATGAGTCTACCCGTCCTCTGTTCCTCTTACACTGCGGAGGCTTTTGCAGTGTCCTCAGCTCTTCGCTTGCTATGGACCCGCAAATACGGGGATAGAAACAAAATAATTATCCTGTCTGATTGCCAAGCTGTTCTTAAATCTATTAGAAATAACCATTTAAATGTACACAAGAACAAGTATGTGACTGAAGCGAGAATATTGATTTATAAGCTGGAAAAACTTTGTGATAAGAAGATCGTACTCGCGTGGATTCCCGCTCACGCGGGAATTCTGGGTAACGAGATCGCTGATGGGTTGACTAAGGAGGCGGCGGAGGAGGAGCCTGACCCCTCCATCACGGTTCCGGTGGGGGATTTACTGGCGCGAGCAAGGAGAGATGTATGAGAGGGAGTCTACGCAGATATCGATCGTACGTGACGCTCAATACAAGGGAACTTTCTATTTTGACACGTTCTATGACCGTGATTCGACCGTGCCGTGGTTTCGGAAGGTTAGAGTTGAAAGATACTTTATCACGTTCATCAATCGTCTAAGAGCTAACCATTATAACCTGGCTTCCCTCAAGAGAAAGAACTACATTTACATTGACAGTGAGAGATGTGAATGCGGCTGTGAATGCGAGGATATCCACCATGTTATTCTGAGATGTAACAAATATGACGAACAAAAAGTTGTTCTGGACGCTGAACTAAGAGAGGTTAATTTCACGGAGGAAATAGACATTTACCGACTCATTCATCCCAATCAAATATACATTAATTGTACAGCAATTACATACAATCGTATGGAAATTCAAATCTATTATAAATAAAAACTTACCTTTGACTCACTATTTAATTTAAATTATTTTTTACTATATAATTTAAATGTGTTTATTATTCTACACTCAGATAACAACTACGATTACGTGACTGAAAAACTGTCTGTTTAATAATTTTTTGAGGTTAATGGCGCTACTACGGTACGCCTTTTCTTATTACATTTTGTTAAATATGTATCAACTACTAGCCCAGTAAAATGACAAAATTTGGAGAAAATAATACTGATGATCACTGGGCTGAAACTTTGTTAACAGGCTTTTAGGGTACTATTTAACATATTAAAAGTCCCCATGTGTAGACGCTAGGGGGAGGGTAAAAAAGATCCAAAAAACCAGTTTTTCGCAAATAACTCGGGAAATATCAACTTTACGGAAATTTATGTGAATATAAAAATTGTAGCTCACAAAATTCCGCACAATTTCGTTTTTTATTCAAGTCTGTACGATCAAATGGATCAATGATAACATTTTTTTTAACACTCGGCGAATTTGGACCGTAGAGAAATGAATAAAAAATGAAATTGTTCATAATTAGATTCTTTACAACTTTTATTTAAAAATTCTATCTTTGCTCCATTTGGTCGTACAAACTTGAATAAAAAACGAAATTGTGCGGAATTTTGTAAGCTACTTTTATATCTACATAAATTTCCGTAAAGTTGATATTTTCCAAGTTATTTGCAAAAAACTGGTTTTTTGGACCTTTTGGACCCTCCCCTGCCCGCAACGTAGCGTCTATACATGGGGACTTTTAATATGTTAAATAGTACCCTAAAACAAGCCTGTTTACAAAGTTTCAGCTCAGTCAGTATTATTTTCTCCAAATCGATAAATTTCGAGTCATTTTACTGGGCTATACGTGTTTGATACATTCATACATTATAATTACATATATTATATATAATATATATTATATATAATATGCACAGTATACTTGCTATGTATTATATGCGTATTGAGACTTGAATATTTCATACCATTAATTACGTATTTAACACGTTATATTTTATACGAAATAAAATGCAATGAAAGGTGCTGTACGGCTTTCATTTGAGGGTTTATATTTTTAGGGTTTATACCGTCATTTTTAAGGATTAACCATTAATTAAAGGTTAATCACTATTTTTGATGGTTAACCATTATTTGAAGGTCCGAAATCACACTCAACTTTAATGTTTTTTTTGGTGTTTTTTTTACGGTTAACACCAAAAGTTGAGTGTATTTTTCCATAAGGAGCTGGATCTCTGATATCTGTTGTAAATGCAGTTTTAGGAACTAAACCGACGAAAGTATCTCACTGAGAGAAGCAACAAAAATATATAATGTAAAATTTTATTGTTCGTTAAAAGATGCTTAAATTTTTGCTTTTTTGTTTTATTTTATTAATAAATATTTTATTAGAGAGAAAAATAAAAACGGTTAAGAAAAATACACAGATTACTTATAAAATTTATGAACGGTTGTTTTTATTTGTAACGA